ACAGGTCTACAAAAATATTTCATAGTTGAGTTGCTTGCGACTGATTCATGGAATTAATAGGAGATTTCATATCTCGCACAAGCTCAGAGATGAATAGTCAAATTTATTTTGAAATGTTAGATAAAACAATACAGCCACTAATAATAAATAAACCAGAAAATGTATTACATTTTCAACAAGATGGGGCACCACCTCATTATGTAGTAGCTGTTAGGGCTTGGCGGGATCAGAATTATCCAGAGCAGTGGATTGGTAAAAAAGGACCATATCCCCAGATCTGACCCCATTAGATTTTTTCTTATGGGCTCACTTAAAATCTGTAGTCTTTAAAACTTAGATTTATTGTATTAAAGATCTGCGACAACGAATATTTCAAGAATGCTGAGGTATTTCAAGATAAAGATTTCAAAATGTTCGAAGGGAATTTGACTCAATTATTGCTTAAAAAATAATTCGACTCATTTTAAAAATTTAATTTAAAAAGTTAAAAATTAAAGTGTTTTGATTATTGTTGAACAATTTGTTTATTTATACTTTTTTAGAATTATTTTGTGTTCTTCAGTTTTTTAACAATGTTTTACTACAACAACATTTTTAATTTGATATTTATAACGAGAAATTAGAATAAGTAAGTATAAAAACTATTTTGCGTATTTTTCAAAACAGTGACACAACTCGAAATTATATTTTAATAAAAACTACATTTTTAAACAAAACCTATTTGCGTATGGTTTTTTTGATATTTTGTGCTAAAATTTTAATTAATTTTAGAAATCACTGTTACCTTTCAAAACACTAAGCTAACATTTTTAACGAATTTTCACAGCCCTTTGTAAAACTTTAATTGAATGTCGATAATGGGCCTGCATGTTTGCAGCCTGCAACTTGCTGACTTTGTATTTCAAATACCTATATACATATTTAAATATTGTTTGTGTTATACTACGCAATGCATAATTAAAAAATTCTTTTATCGAAAAAATCCAATTCCAATTAAGGGAAAAAATACTGTTTATAAGAGTATAGTAGAGGAACAAGATTGACACTTACCAATTAATAATTACTAATTGGACATAAAAGTATCTTTCATCTCCAAAAATTTAAGCCATTATTTTTCTCACCTGTCATTTGCAAATGTTAGTATCTAACTTTCTTTATTTATTAGTTTTGCAGGATACAAAACTTGGTTTACATTTAAGTTAAAATAAAGCTTCAAACAAGTCCATATTTGTTACCAAAATATCATTTATCTTCCATCGTTTGTATTTAATATTAATAATAGTGGCGGCTGGTGGATTTTGGGCACACCCATATCTCAGTTATTAGACATGGGACCCACATTAAATTTATATGAGTTTATAATGACATTATATAGAGAAGTTCTGCGCAAGCAGAATTTAAATTGAAGTTTGCGAAAAAAGTTAGTTTTTTAGTGGGCCCCCCAGCCTCCTGCTCCCCCAATTTAAGATAATTCAAATTAAATTGATATTTGATTCGAAATTCTACAGTTTATCAAAGTTTATCAACATACGTATATTTATAAGTTTCTCAACAAATTTTAAAATTTAGTCCAAGTATTACAGATTTTATACCATTTCTATTTTTTTTTTAATTTAGTAAAAGAAATAATAAAAATTTAAAATGGTATAAAACCTGTAATACTTGAAGTTTTTTATTAAAATTTGAAATTTGTCGATAAACTTCAGTGAATTAAATATTGTACCTCTTTAATTTGAATTATCTTAATCTGGGGGGCAGGAGGCTGGGGGGGGAACACTTAAAAACTAACTTTTTTTTCGCAAATTTTAATTTAAATTCTGATTGCGCCGAACTTGTCTATATAATGTCATTATAAACACATATAAATTTGATGTGGGTCCCATGTCTAATAACTACGATATGGGTGTGCCCAAAATCCACCAGCCGCCATAACAAACTTTATAATTTTGTTTTGTGTGTTTTTGCTTAAAAACCAATTAAAAAATCGGTTTTAATATTAAAATACAATGATGGTTTGTTCAGCAACAAAGAGACTGGAACAGCCTTTGACAGGTAAAAATCTATATTTTTAATGAAATCAATTTCTCGAATTTTTCGGAATACCTTGTTCTCATTTAGAAATCGTCCTAGAAATTGTTCTGCGAGACACATCCTGGTTTTAAAAAATTCCTATAATCTCAGTATAGGGACCCGTAAACTATATTATAGATACTATCGAATTTCTAATTTGTAAGACGCAAAATAATCTGACAACTAAGATGTTATAGAAAAGTAAAATTTCCAAACTAATTTACGTTTCAATATATATTACCTAAATTAGTTTGGAAATTTTACTTCACTTTAACATCTTAGTAGATTATTTTGCTATAAAAACTCCTGTAAATCTAAGAGCTCCTAGATTTTGTACCAAAAATAATGGGATATACGTTACTCTTATAATAAAACAACTGCCGCCAAAAGCACGTGTAGTAAGTGGTAAAAACATTTTTCATTAAAATTTTTATTTATTATTCAATTAAAATTTACGATATGAATTATGAAGTGCTTAAGTGTATAAGACAAATTTATTTATTTAAATTAGCAGTGTTATGCTAATAAGGTTGCTTAAATGGCAATATTCCAAAAGTAACTTAATCCCTAGACAAGACCTTAATCTAAGGCAATACTCCGAATTCCCAAGTCACCAACTAAAATTTCTAATTTGTAAGACGCAAAATAATCTGACAACTAAGATGTTATAGAAAAGTAAAATTTCCAAACTAATTTACGTTTCAATATATATTACCTAAATTAGTTTGGAAATTTTACTTCACTTTAACATCTTAGTAGATTATTTTGCTATAAAAACTCCTGTAAATCTAAGAGCTCCTAGATTTTGTACCAAAAATAATGGGATATACGTTACTCTTATAATAAAACAACTGCCGCCAAAAGCACGTGTAGTAAGTGGTAAAAACATTTTTCATTAAAATTTTTATTTATTATTCAATTAAAATTTACGATATGAATTATGAAGTGCTTAAGTGTATAAGACAAATTTATTTATTTAAATTAGCAGTGTTATGCTAATAAGGTTGCTTAAATGGCAATATTCCAAAAGTAACTTAATCCCTAGACAAGACCTTAATCTAAGGCAATACTCCGAATTCCCAAGTCACCAACTAAAACTTGTGATAGGTACACACTTCTTATCTTAAAAGCTAAGCTGTTGAAACTTTCTTACGAACAACGTTAAGACGTGGTTGAATCTTATTAAAAGACCCTAATTCAAGATAATGTGTGATATTGAACTTCAAGTACTTGATTTAACTTTATCGAATACATCAATAATTGTTAAGGTTAAATGTCGTTGAATTTAATAATAAAGGAGCTTAAATTATGTATCTGATGTTTCTAATGAGAGTTATTAGGACTGCGTGAAACGCTGGTCGAGGATGACCAAAACCCAAAAAGTCAACTTTGGTTGATCAAATCAAAAATTATAACATCATAATTATTATAATTTAAAAGAAAAAAATAAAACAATTTGAAAATTATTTTTCAATTAAATAATTTGCCGATATGTACCCTGCTTATGGCGCAGCAAATTGTAATGTAAGAAAATCTGCACGTTTATGTGAATAGAGATATACTAGACGCCAGCAATCTTATCATACAACCTTCGCTTCGCTTCACCGTCGCTTTAGAATAAATGACACACTAAATAAAGCGTTTTAGTGGTTCTGATCGTTCAGCCTGGATATAATTTAAAAAAGAAATTCTACACCGTGGAAAAAACTATTCATCCACAAGTGTCCGCGCAGTTACACACTATATGAACTTCTTCAAATCGGTATAGGATGTTATGATTAACAATCACTCTCTAAAAATGAATTAGTCAATATTGACTAATTGTCATAGCGAAAAATTTGTATTCCGGACATTTAGTAGTCAATTCCTATGTAAAATTGTCCGCATAATCCGAAAATGTTAGAAGTTATAAAAGTAGAACAGTTTTTGAGATAAAGTCAATTTTCCATATAATATGAAAATGACTATATCTTAAATATTGCTCTACTTTTTTAATTTTTGACAGTATTTTTACATAAGAATTGGCTATTAAATGTCCGAGATACCAATTGCTGTGGACTACAGAAATTAGTGGCTGCTTATTCACTTTAAAAACTAGTCATTTTTGACTAATTCATTTTTAGAGGGTATTTCACCCTTACCATTAACAACAAGTGCAAGCTTTCATGGAGAAGTGGACATCACAATGGATCATTAGTAGCTGATATTGAAGGTAAACTTATTATAGGCATGGACATTATGAACTATAGGATTTGAACTGAACTTTGAACAAGAAATATTGAGGGTAAATGGAGAATAAGTCGTGTTACATTAATCTAAAGAGGAGAATATTCGTGTAATGCTAACAGAAGATGCTTTGATGATATTGAAGGCTTTCTTGGATTATAAATCAGAAGATGAAATTAAAATGCTGCTTGAGCCGAGAATTGATGACAAAGAGGTCAGTCGAGGAATTGTAGTGTTGAAAAAGAAGTGCCTGTAAGAGTATTAAATGTTAATGGATACTCTGTGAACTTGAAGAAAGGAATCGTTTTGGGAAACTGTTCTTCGATTTCCTCGATTATTAGAGGCATAAATAAATAAATCGTGTTTTATTCATACTGTCGAACCACAAAAACCTTACAATAAAGTATATTTAATCTTTGACTAACCATTAATGCACAGAACACCAATATACTTAATATACAATGACAATGTTTAGTATCAGTGCACCATTTAAAATAATATAATAAAAGCATGGGTTACTTACAGCAACAGTTAGTTAGTTAGTTAGTTAGTTAGTTAGTTAGTTAGTTTTATGACATGAATGTCAGGAACTGTAGTGATTAATATTCTGCACATTAATTATTATTTTGAAATGAAAATAAGTGACATGCGGAAAAGTAGCCCTTTTCGCACTAATTCTAAAGGTAAATAACTACTTTACTTACAGTCGTAATCTGCGTAGGAAGGTGCTGCCGAAGTCAGGCTGGCCATCATAATAGCACAACAAAGTATTGCCAGGAAACAGTTCTGCATCGTAATTTTTTGCATCTTTTCTGAAACAATAAATTTTATATTTATTTATTTAATATGTAATATATATATATTAGGGTGATTCATTTCCGCAAAGTTTTTGTTTTCTTCGGTGCTCAAGCAAAATATTAATCTGCATATAGAAAAAAAAATTCTCAACAAGTTTGAGCTCTTAATATCAATTTTAAGTACTTGCAGTTTAAATTTAAAGTTTTCCCATTTAAAATGCATGTAAAAAAAATGTTTTTTTTTTCAAATTTCTAATGCTTATCCACCTTTGACAATATTGCAAATCGGTTTAATACACCTTATGGGGAATTCCACGCTCTTTAAAATTGCTTTTGAGGTTTTTTTTGTAACTCGCATTGGTTCACCAGTAGGAGTCGTCAAAGGACAGTTTTTGAAAAAAATCGTTTTTTTTTTTAATTTTTTCTAACAAACCGCAAAAAGTAGGGAGAAAAAAAAAGCTGAATCATAAAAAAAGTTATTTACAGCCATTTTTATAACTGAAAACGTAAGAAATTGATAATTACCAACTCATAATGTTATTTAGATTGATTTTTTCTATTTATTATCATTATATTTCCCTACACTAAGAAGTTTTTTAAAATTATTAATTTCTCACTTATAATGAATATGAAAACAACAGATAAATTCATAAAAAAATAGCAAAAAAATATAAATGAAGATTATTTAATTTTTTGAAGCGAAATTTGAAATATGTATGTGTTGTTTTCATATTCATTATGAGTGAGGGAAATATAATGATAATAAATAGAAAAAATCAATCTAAATAACATTATAGGTTGGTATTTATCAATTTCTTACGTTTTCAGTTATAAAAATGGCAGTAAATTCATTAAATATTGGTTGGATAACTTTTTTTTTATGAATCAGCCCTTTTTTCTCACTACTTTTGGCAATTTGCTCGAAAAAATAAAAAAAAAAAAGATTTTTTTCAAAAACTGTCCTTTGACGACTCCTACTGGTGAACCAATGCGAGTTACAAAAAAAAACTCAAAAGCAATTTTAAAGAGCGTGAAATTCCCCATAAGGTGTATTAAACCGATTTGCAATATTGTCAAAGGTGGGTAAGCATTAGAAATTTGAAAAAAAAAACATTTTTTTACATGCATTTTAAATGGGAAAACTTTAACTTTAAACTGCAAGTACTTAAAATTGATATTAAGAGCTCTACCTTGGTGAAATTTTTTTTTTCTATAGGTAGATTAATATTTTGCTTGAGCACCGAAAAAAAACAAAAACTTTGCGGAAATGAATCACCCTAATATATATATATATATATATATATATATATACATGGGCAGATCCATTACTTTTCGACAAAAGTGTGCGGGGGTAAGTCACCGATTTGGCTGCCGATTTTTTTCTCGAAAGTAGGTCATATAAGGAGACGATCCTGAAAATTTTAGCTCGATATAGGTAATTCCGGCTGCAAGAAAATTTTTTGAAATATAAAAAAAGTCGATTTTTTAGTCATTTTCAAAAATTCGTATCTCAGCTCCTATTTAACTTAGAGATTTGATCAAGACGGCATTTTTCTCTGTTATCCCTCTATTTTCAAGAAAAAAATAGGTTTTAAGTTTAAACTTAAATCCGGCTAAGCTGTAATCCTCCAAATAGAACACTGCTTAAGATAAATTTTGCCAATTTTTAAAGTGCTCTCAAATCTGCAGTTTTTGAAGCAGTGGAATAAATGACAGATGATATTTTTCGTTAAGGTATACTCTGTTAGAATTTACCCATTTTTTACTTGATTGCTTCGATTTCTCTAATGTATGGCCACTCAAAGACAATTGATTTTTGAAAAATCAATGTTTTCAGATACCTACAACTTTTTTCTATCGATCCGAAATCCTTTGAAAATTTCAGGGATTATACTTTATTCTATTCCCAAACAAACCATCAAAACTTTTCCTTGGGTATTGAAGTGGTTTCCGAGCTATGCATTTTTAAAAATGTCAAATTTTCAATATAATATGACATTTTTGGTAGTTTTATTTTCACTAGTAATACCACTAGAGGTCAAATTATTTCCGGAAATTTTTTCGAGCTCATGAATATTTTGAAAATTATCCCGAGTCGAAGACGAGGGATAATTTTCTAAAAATATTCATGAGGGAGAAAAAATTTCCGGATTTAATTTGACCTCGTGTGGTATTCGGTAAGAAAATTCCACACCAAATTGTGTTTAAATAATTAAAATTTATTTTTTGATTTAACTTGACCTTGACTTGATTATTTAGTTACCATGGCAACTAAGTCAACCCCAACCTAAAAGTTATTTCAGTTTTGAAGCTGTCAAGCGGCACGACGTAAAAAATGTGAAATTGTCTGCTGTAATGATCAATCATCGTGCAATGACTTATTTACCCGCATTATTAGAGGATTGTGGCTCCTACTTGAAGAAAGAAAATTTGCTTTGAATTGTTCACGAATATTTGCATCTTAACTATTCAAAACTCAAAGTGCTAAATGGAAAAAAAGGTGAATAGAATAGTGTCTAAATATTATATATATTTCATTAGACATAGACATTTAATTTATTTCAAGTCCTGCATTTTCGCCATTAAGAAGAAAGGAGGTGTCCAACGAATATAGAAAACATCTAAACTTTGTAATGGAAATGTATCAAAATTATCATGTAAACAAATAAAAACCAGATTGTCAAAAAAATATTCTGTCATTATAAACGTCAAAAAATTTCCAGTATAATTCGCTGTTGGGTACCCACGAGGAAAAAATTTCCACTAAAATTCAACCGTTGCCATGGTGATCTATCAAAAATACACGTTTTGATTGGTTAAAAATTACAGGTGTGGAATTTTCAGTTAAATGAATTATTAGTAATACTTTAGTCAATAATCTATTAGACCTTGTTCATTTTTCTCGAAAGTAGGTCATATAAGGAGACGATCCTGAAAATTTGAGCTCAATATGGGTAATTCCGGCTGCAAGAGAATTTTTTGAAATATAAAAAAGACGATTTTTTAGTCATTTTCAAAAATTCATATCTCAGCTCCTATTTAACTTAGAGATTTGATCAAGATGGCATTTTTCTCTGTTATCCCTTTATGTTGGATTAAAGAATTTAATTTTGATTTGCAAAAAGGTGAAATTAATTTTAAACGTTGGGACACAGCTGGAAGTAGAGCTTTTCTAGCCAATTATACGGAAAGTAAAAGCAGTTTTTTAGATAATTTGTTTTCTGATGTCTGGAATTTAACTCTACATTCTTATATTGCCGATTCTCAAAAAAATTATTTATTTGATTGTAAAAAAAAATTGCAAACTGATACTAGTATAATAATAATGGATTTCGCTGAGAATTACTCTTTTATAATACAACGTTCAGTACAAGCATTTTATTATAATAATTTACAAGCTACAATTCATCCTTTTTATATGTACTATAAAGATCCCAGCAAAGAAGATAACGAAAAACTGGAGCAACTAAGTTTTTGTGTAATAAGTGACACTAAGGAACATTTTGCATATACAGTTCACGCTTTTTAAAACAAATTAGTGCAAGTTCTGAAAAAAGATTTCCCATGGATTAAAAACATTATCTATTTCTCTGATGGAGCTCCGAGTCAGTATAAAAATAAGTATGGCTTTTATGGGTAAATTACATCAGAGTATACCTTAACGAAAAATATCATGTGTCATTCATCCCACTGCTTCAAAAACTGTAGATTTGAGAGCACTTTAAAAATTGGCAAAATTTATCTTAAGCAGTGTTTTATTTGGAGGCTTACAGCTTAGCCGGATTTGAGTTTAAACTTAAGACCTATTTTTTTCTTGAAAATAGAGGGATAACATAGAAAAATGCCGTCTTGATCAAATCTCCAAGTTAAATAGGAGCTGAGATACGAATTTTTATAAATGACTAAAAAATCGACTTTTTTTATATTTCAAAAAATTCTCTTGCAACCGGAATTACCCATATCGAGCTTAAATTTTCAGGATCGTCTCCTTATATGACCTACTTTCGAGAAAAATGAACAAGGTCCAATGGATTATTGACTAAAGTATTACTAATAATTCATTTAACTGATAATAAAACTACCAAAAATGTCATATTATATGGAAAATTTGACATTTTTAAAAATTCATAGCTCGGAAACCACTTCAATACCCAAGGAAAAGTTTTGATGGGTTGTTTTGGGATAGAATAAAGTATAATCCCTGAAATTATCAAAGGATTTCGGATCGATAGAAAAAAGTTGTAGGTATCTGAAAACAGCGATTTTTCAAAAATCAATTGTCTTTGAGTGGCCATACATTAGAGAAATCGAAGCAATCAAGTAAAAAATGGGTAAATTCCAACAGAGTATACCTTAACGAAAAATATCATCTGTCATTTATTCCACTGCTTCAAAAACTGTAGATTTGAGAGCACTTTAAAAATTGGCAAAATTTATCTTAAGCAGTGTTTTATTTGGAGGCCTACAGCTTAGCCGGATTTGAGTTTAAACTTAAAACCTATTTTTTTCTTGAAAATAGAGGGATAACAGAGGAAAATGCCGTCTTGATCAAATCTCTAAGTTAAATAAGAGCTGAGATACGAATTTTTGAAAATGACTAAAAAATCGACTTTTTTTATATTTCAAAAAATTCTCTTGCAGCCGGAATTACCTATATCGAGCTCAAATTTTCAGGATCGTCTTCTTATATGACCTACTTTCGAGAAAAAAATCGGCAGCCAAATCGGTGATTTACCCCCGCACACTTTTGTCGAAAAGTAATGGATCTGCCCATATATATACGAGGTGTTTTCAGGAAATAACGGGAATTTTTAAATTTCGCGGGTTTGGAGAGTCCGGTTGTCATAAAATTGTCTTTATTATGTTGGTATACATACCCCTGAAGAATGATACAAATTTTAGATGTCTTCATTGTTTACTTTGTCTTTGGCAGCCGCTAAGATTAGACGTGTTTTTATGAGCTCGGCGATTTTCGTTCGTTAAAAGGAATGGATCAAAGAATTTGTATTAAATTT